CCTTGCCCGGCCCGCTGTTGCAAACACCAGCTGCATTTCTGTATCCCTGTCATGTTGTGGACCTCATTAAAACCCTTCTAGAAGCCAGAATAAAATTGCCTTTACCAATTTCCTCCTTGTCCTTGGCATTGTTTACTTACTTAGAGAATTCCAGCAGGTCTGAAAGGCCTGCTTCCCCGCGGGGACAGCGCTGCTCATCCCAATCAGATTACCCTTCTCCAATTGATCTTCATTTATCTGACCTTTATAAAGCTCTCACCTGATTTCCAGAGCACCAGACGTTTGCAACGTAAGATTTTCTTCCTTGGCTCTGTACGGGCAGCCGACTCCCCAGCAAAAGAGCCACCAAACCTGCTGTAACCCACTGGGAAACAGTTCATTTAAAAAAAAAAAAATAAACCCCAAACAGAGTCATTGAGTTGATGGAGCTGAGGGGGCAGGAGCTGGGCTGGGTGCTGGGGGGGGCAGAGCTGCAGACACCACGCACACAGGGGCCGTGTGGATGCTCTGCGTGCGGCAGCGCTGGGTTGGCAGGAGTCAGCGCGGGCAGCCCAGCAGCTCCCACCCGGGCGAGCGGCGAGCCCCCCCGCCCCGCTCTCAACCCGCTCCTGCAGATGCTCTGGGCTTTTTTGCGAGGGCCGGCGGCTGGCTGATTTGCATAGGGAATGAAGGCAGCAATTAGTTTACCTCATCATCTCAGCAGACTGGGAAATTAGCTCCCTTCTGATTCAATCACAGTTGCGGGGAAGAGGCTCCGGGGACACGGGGGGGGCGGCCACCGCGCCGAGCACCCGCTCCAGAGCCGCGCCGAGCTCAGCATAAGGGGGACAAGAGCCACCTTCCCAGTCCCCCCAGCCTCACACCAGCACACCGCGCTCACCCGCTGCAGCTCAGCCTATGACACAGACCCTCCTCATCTCCAGACTCATTTTCTGCCAGATCCCTTATAGATGAAGGGCAGAAAGCCTCCAGCATCCGTTCTGCTTGTGAACAAAGCCAGACCTGGCCCCAGTTTGGCATTTCCCCAGGGATGACAGCTCCTGCTTCACACTCCTGCCCCAGGGGGGTTCCCCAGGAGAGAGCAGATGCATTTGCCCACATCTTTCACCCCCAGCCCACTCCCTCCCTCGGAATGGAGTAGTAGTTCTCCTTGAAGATTTATTCCCCACAGGAATATTAATGAGCCTGGAAGGAGCAGAGAAGCCCCTCTCCCCATTACACTCCCGCACGCTTCACCTTGATGAGCACTTCACTGCCGGGTGCTGATCGGAGCCGCTCTCCTGCGAGGAGATGGATGGAAATGCATTTCTCCCGACCACATCGCTGCTGGTTAATGTGTCCAGCCGAGCCCCAGGAAGGACCCACCACAGCTCTGAGACTCCAACCTTCACCACTTTCAGAAGGGTAGAGCAGGGAGCTTGAGAGTTTTCTAGAAAGCTACAACAGGAACAACATCCTGCTAACACTGGGAAGTTTCGGGTTTATATCAGGTGCAATGCCTTTGCCCTCCCAGCATCATCTCCTGTCTCCAATCTGCCTTAAAGTCCTTAATTCGATCCATCTGGGCTCAAAGCCTGCAAGGCTTCCCATCTCCGGGCTTGCCTAACCATTGCTGGGGTCACCAGCTCTGGTTGTGCAGGTGCCCAGCATCCTCCACACTGGGGGATTTTGGAGAAATGGGAGATTTGGGGGAAAATGTAAGGGGAGGGGTCTCTATGTGGTGACACAAAATCTTAAACCCAAGGTCATCCCCAAACCAGCCTCCTGGGGATGTCGGGGGAGAAGTGGAAGGAGGGGTTTGGGGTCTGGCCATCCGACATCTCGTGGGGCTGCAGTGGGGTGTCATGGCTCTGCTGGCCCCCCAAACTGGCTTCCCCATGGCTCTCCAGGCAGAACCACCCCTTGGTTTCCCACCTCTCCTCGCAGTCCTGTGATGGCACCCAGCCTCCAGCCCCCCGCCATTCTCCCTGGGAGGTTTCCTGCCCCGCTTTTGTGCACAGATGCGCAGAGGAGGAGATGAAAAGGAGAGGATGCTGCAGCCGGGCGCTGGAAGCAGTTGCCATAGGGACAGTATCTCTGAGTGGCAGCCCGGGCTTCATTTGCAATCCCCCTTTTGCTCCCTTTCCGTATCTTTGCCAGGAGCCCGATTTGGGAGGTCTGCCAGGGCCAAACCCCCTCTTCACCAGGGGAGCATCGGGTGGGTGTGGGAGGAAAGTGCTGGATGCCGGAGAGCATCGTGCCCGCCGTGCTGGATGGCTGGGGTCTGCGGGGGCGAGCATGGACCCGAGCGGAGAGGAGGAAAATGCAGGCAGACGGCTCCCCAAAAGCCCTATCCCTTGATGAAAGTGAAGGTTTGGGCTGCATCGACCCCCCCTTGCCCCGCGGGGTGGGAGAACATCCCCTGACCCGGCCCAGGCAAGGGAATCCCAAAGCCAGCCTAGAACCCAGGGGAAAGGCGCGGGCAGGACCTTTTGCCCTCTCTAAAGGTGACGGGAAAGGGCCATCCATCAGGGAGACGGGGCTGCAGGAACCACACGGAGATCTGCGGAATGGGGCCGTCGGGGGTCACTC